GGTGGCCTCCTTCACTCGTCTCCTTCTTGTCCAGTCACCAGGTTTCTTGAGGACAACCTGCCCTACGCAGACTAATCCTTATAAACTCACTTTTACATTTTGTTCTTTTAATTATTTGACTTTACTTTGTAGAACTCAGAATTCACTCAGATATCAAATAAACTCTTGTCATGAAATCGATCATAAGTTAAAGTTCTGAGGGTGAGTTAAACGTGTGAAGCTACTGTAGCTGGAGATAATCACACACTGTATGAGTTTACACCATAAAAGCAGGAAAACAATGACAGCGAGCCTCCGGAGGGAAAACAGCGTACGACGATAAAAGCCGGATTAATTTGAGATGCCGCCCTGATTCCGCTGCAGCACTTTGAGTTTGCAGAGATTCATGATTTGTTCATGACGGCTTTGGCAGCGACATGAAAGGCTTCACCTCGCGGAGCGCTAACTTCCTTAAACGCTCGTTCGCGGGCGAGTTAAACGAGTCAAACATCGACTAACCCTCCTAATGGAGCGTCTCCGTGAAGGTGATTATATTAAGCTGAGATGATGCCGGTGACAATTAAAATTCATTTAAAGAAGCCGAGAGCTGATTTATTGGCGCTCGTCAGGAGGGAAGCAGCGCCGGAAGGGATGATTTAAAAATGTATTACTGCACAAATGCTACGTACCTGCGGAGGAGGAGGATTACTGCCGCCGTGAAAGATTTATTCGACCTTTTTAGGAGTTTCAGGTCAGAATTCTGAGGAGAAGAAGAAAAAAATCCTCTTCTGTAATTACCTTTTAAAAATACAGTCAGAATTCAGGATGCTCGAGATTAAAGGATGCAGCCTCGAGGAAGCTCCTGTTTTATTTTATGTGGATTGTTTTGTGTTTTTGTTTGTGTTGGCTTATGTTTTATTAAAATATTTAAGATTTTATGCTAATTTATATTCTATTTTTTTTATCATATATTTCATTTTATTTTATTGTATTTTTATGTCTAGTTCATTTTTTAGAGTTTTTCAATTTTATTTTATTTTTATTTTATTTTCCAAACTCCTACAAACAAATGACCAGAATTCAGTTTTTATATTAGTATTTTAATTCCTATATTTATTTGTATTTTTATTGTTTTTGTCTTATTTAAATGTATGATTTCTGTTTCATATAATTACCTACCATTTAATTTCTGTGTTATTTCCATTTCCTTTTTTCTATATATATAGTTTAATTCTTTAATTTAAATGTATGTATTTTCAGTATTTTCATTCCACATCATTTGTATTTTTATTTTGATTTCTGTTTCATTTTAATAGTTTTTAGTTTTATTTATTTAAATATTTAGTTTCTTTATTTTATTTTATTTCATTTTATTTTATTTTATTTCATTTTATTTTATTTTATTTTATTTTATTTCATTTTATTTTACATGGGTCCTGCTTCTTTCTGATGCTGCAGGTTTTTAATAAACTCAGAGGAAAAACTCTACAAACGGCCGGCGGCAGCTAAAGCAGCTAAACTTCAGCCCCCGTTAGCCTGAACCAGGATTAATTAATAACGAGTGTCATGAATCTGACCAGTGAATTGTTTTTTTAATCCATATCATCAAACTGAACAGAGCGAGCCGACGCTCTCCTCTCCGCCATCAGTTTCCTGTTTGTCGCTCTGGGACGTCTGCTGAAGGATCTCATGGTTCTTGCATGAGAACCTTTGGCGGAGCTTCCAGAGGTCTCCTCGTCTAATGAGCTGATGTGTTTCTGCCTCTTCAGATCAGGCCGTGACGGCGAACAAAGACAAGGAGCAGCGTGGCGGCGATGGCGGCGGCGGCGGCGGCGGCGGCACCCAGAAGGATTTGGCTGTAATAGCAGGTCTGTTCTCTCCTCGTCTGTTGGTTTTACTTCCTCCTCCTAATTGAAAACGAGTCCCAGCTGTTTGTTATTTGTCATTCTCCCCGTTCTCCTCCACGCCTCCCCCCCAGGCCCGGCTCCGGCTCGTTTTCATTATCGCCGCTTACGCCGTTTTGTCTGAAATTAAATTTGATGATGTAACGTGGGGCTTTGGCTCTTTTTTTTCCTTTATTTCGGCTCACGCTGTTCGATACGAGGCTTTGTGGGACTTCAAGCTAATTAACGGGAGACCAGAAAGAAAAAAGAGACTCATCAACAACACATGCTGCGTCTCCGCTCCACCAATCAAAACACAATAAATACGTTGGATCTGGGCTGAGATTGCCGCTTGTTTAAACAATAGTTTCTCGCCAAAAGCTAAATGAGAAGATTGAATCCTCCCCGACGCCGTCTGAATGCGAAGCCGGGAGAAGGTTAGTCGGGCTCGACGCGAGGACGGGACGAGCTCCTGCAGCGTCTTCAGAGCTCAGAGCCGATTACATCTCGTCTGTTTAATTACAAACCGCAGAAGAAGAGCTGCGAGCGCTCACAGCAGAGCGCCGTCGATCTGAGGCCAGGAAGGAAACGAGGAGTGTTCCCCCGAGAAGGTCCGGATCAGAACCGGGTCCACAGAGGGAACGAGGGTTCATCCTCTGACCCTCAAGACCTGCAGAAAGTTAGATCAATGACCGAAGCCTTCAGGACGGCGTGGTGCAACGAAGAAGTGACGGATGAGACCAACAGGAAGCATTCAG